CCAGAAAAAGGATCGGGACGGTCGAAACAACCAGGCAAAGGAACCAACACTACCCGACCATCGGTGGTCATAAATGTGAATCAGGAATGTAACTAGGGGACATATTTAATCACTCCCAATAGCGTTCAGGTTGATTTTTTCTCTATCTCGAAGGGTCCCAGTCGCTCAAATTACGCCTCATCTCACATTCCACCCTCCCATTTCAATATGGCCCATGTTTAGAACAAAGGGCCGTTCCATGGGCTCGATTCAACATCAAGCCGCCACCATATTTCCACAAAACGTCGCTCAGATATTTATGATTTTTTCGACCGATAGACCCTCATAAAGGAAGATGGATTAACATTTTCACGTTCAGGATGGTCGGGTGGGTACCGCTCAGTTGATACTTCTCGGACTGTTGGTGAAGATCGGATCGCTTGGACGCGAATTTGTACAGTTTTTTTCGGGCAAATTGAGTGTTGCTTCATTCATAGAATTCCGTTTTTTATTTTCAAATGTTTTTCAAGTATCATTCCCTGGACTGCGTTTTACATTTAAGGACAGTCGAGGGCCGGTGAAGTTCTCTAGTGAAGAAAGTGGCAGTGGACTTGTGCGGTGCTGTTCGTCTACCTGCTTTAGACCGTTATTTCCGGAAAGTGCCAAAGTGAACCATCGTGATAATGCAACATGCTCGAGACACCCAAAATACTATTCAGGCTCAGATATAAGAACCCTGTCAAGGTCAAAACTCTTCGAGAGTATCACCACGAAAAATCGATCTCCCGAGGCACATCAAACTGTCCCAATTTATTTACGGACAAACTTTACCAACGGTATAATGAAAGGTAAACAGTGTTTTGTGGCATAAGATTCTCGAAGATTTTTGCATGAAGTCAGATGATTTAAATCTTCCCAAACATGCGTTACTTCCTTGTGTGAGTTCTCACTTTTGTGGTCAGGTTTTACTCGCTTCAGATAACCAAACATTTCAGGTGCATTCGCACGAAAAACTGTTTATTGAATTTTATCGGTACTTGTCCAGAAGGATTRAGATTTTTTCAACAATCAAAAATCGAAAATGCGCAACCTACGCCACCCTGTATCCATTACCAGTAATGAATTTCGAATGACCCACCCTGTACATAYGCCACAATAAATCATTTATGCCGGTATTACAGTACGCACTTTTCCACGATTTATTGGCGAATTATTGACAGGCGCATTTTTTGGGTTAAAAACGTCAAAAACCCGTCTTTTTGACGGCTCTTTCTTTGACGGTTCTTTACGTTACGTCACTATAAATTGAACTGTGCGTT